TAGCCTTTCTGATGCTGAGACACAGAAAGCTGACCCCAAGGTGCAGAGAAAGCTCAATGCTTTTTATGCTTTTTTTCTGTCCCTCCCCCAGAGCACTGGGATTGGAAGGGACCTCAGGGAAGGATCACAGTCATTGGCCAGCTACACAATGAATATCAGAGCAGTCTTTCCCTTCTCTTTCCCCTCCGTCTCCCTAGTTCCTGTTTAGCTGCAAGCAGGCCCAGCTTTGAAACCTGAAACATCTTGAAACTTTAGAAACGTCTTAAGTGCCCTCATTTCATTTTGAAGCTGTTTGAAGCCTTTTGTTTTGTTTTGATTTCGCTGCTTTGAGCTTGAAACGTGTCAAAGCGGCTTCAAAACAAAATGCCTCCCAAACTTTTGTACACCCCTAGCTGGGGTCAGATCACCCCAGCAAGATCTGCTTGGAAGGAGCCTGTTAACTTCAGTGTGGTACTGGGGGCCAAATACATGGAGCAGCTTTCAGGGCTGAGGCTCAGGGGTAAAATCTTCAGAATGCTCAAATTGCTTAGGTTCGTAAATCTCATTGAATGCCTATGGGATTTAGGCTCCTAAAATGCTTTGGTTAAGTTTTTAAAAACAGTAATGTCACCTTCTCCTAGTTTGCACCCTAAGTTTATATATTGGATAGTCTATTTGTTAGGTACTGATGAGATTCTATTGTTCAAGTTAATTCTGAGAATAAAGTACCAAATTATCTGATGTTGTTTTATTAATTTTAGTGAAGTTATATCTGGGATGCTTCTAGGCCAAATTAGTCATTAGTTATATAGCAAAATGGAGAATGTGTGTTATTGTCAGAAGAACTCACAATCTTTCCCTCACATTTTGCCTGTAAACATAAAACTATATATACTCCAGTTCATAGACTTCATAGACATTAGGGCTGGAAGGGACCTCATAAGATCATCTGGTCCAGCCCCCTGCCCAAGGGGCAGGAAGTCAGCTGGAGTTAAAGATAAGCAACCAAATGTTTCTTAAAAGTGCCCAGAGGAGGTGCTTGCACCACCTCTGGAGGAAGTCTGTTCCCGGCCCATTCCAGATCCTGATGCACATTCTTTATGTACTTATAGGCTTCCACCAAGTCCCCCCTGAGCCCGTGCTTCTCCAGGCTGACGAGTTCCATAGCTTGTAGCCTCTTTTCATAAGGCCTGTTCTCTTGCCCTTTGATCATGTGTGTGGCTCTCCTCTGGACTCTTTCCTTAGGGAGTGAATTCCTATCCTAAGCTTTTGAAGACATATTACAAAGTACATTGTGCCTTCATTTTGTTTAAGTAACAGAATGACCTCCATTTCACTCAGATGTAGAGCTGCTGTTTTCATTAGTGTAAATTATTTATATCCGTAATACTGATTCATAAAACTAAAGCATAGGAATGCTTTTTATTTAAGAAATTAATCTTATACCAGTTTAAGCTTCCATTAGCCTACAGAGTTTTTCTGGGGTACATTTTGTCCTGCATTTCGGCCATAACATGCCTTGTTTAATGTGATTTGATTTTTTTCTTTAATGATTTAAAAAAGAAAAATCTTATGACATAGTTCTCTCTCCCTCTGATCTCTTTTAGGGAGGGAGACATTTTTGTCATGGGAAAGGGCCTGATCCCATTTCTGGTAAAATCAATAGCAAAACTGCCACAGACCTTTATGAAAACAGATTCAGGCTTTATGTAATAACTGAATATTGACATTTGAAAAGACTGCATTAGCTTCAGTAAAGTCCAGAATATTTCCAGAAAAAAGCTAATTCCAAAAAGTCTAGGCAGATTTCAGTTTGTTTCATGCCTGGCAGGCATAGCACAGAAAATTTGATAGAAATCTGGGTAGAAATAGAGTGCCTCAGTGAGAGTTCTGGCTAAAATGACATCCGCATAGGAGGTCATATGCTTTTCAATTTGTTAGGGCAAGATTTAATTCTAATAGAAAATATGAATAGGATTATACTTTTTATGCTTTCTTGAGATTCTAAACCAGAAATTAATGTACACATACATGTATATGCTTTATCTACCCAGCTGTCACAGTATAATAGTTACATTCTCATGATTTAATGCTTCTCTGCAGATGCTGATTGCTAGTAGGGCTTAGCTTGAAAGCTCATGTATTTTGATTTATTTGTTGTTGAAGCATGAGGTATCACATTATTTACCTTGTTGACCACTATCTTGCAGAAAATTGTTGCTTTGATTATTCACCCAAGCAAATGACCACAAATAAACAACCAGATGCTGAACCTGAAAAACACAATGGGAAAATCAAATTTCCAATTGACAAAATAAATATTTTATTAAATAATGTATAAATAATGTTTATATAGAAAAGATATGATGTATTAAAATAGTGTGCTGTCAACTAGATTTTCTGTTTATGATTACAGAAAGTGATTCAGTAGGGGTTAAAGTTTTATCAATCTGGAGGTGCAATTAATAGATGTGGTTACCATTAGTATTACTACATTTTTAAGGTGGATGAAGTTGGCATGCTTCTGTGCTTACGTAGTAATGCAGAGAACTAAAGTGTGTGTCTCATATTGCTGACTATTTTCCATATTATTTGAATAAAAATGTCTTCATATACATGAGATTAGAAATAATAATTAAGTAATACTATACATTCATTGTCTGGAAAACATTTGAGACAGGAAAATAGGGGCCATGAAGCTGAACACAAGCCTCAGTTTCCTCTTATTTTGTTTTTCTTCCTTTTGTAGGGAATAATATGTTTTCATACCATGAATACCTATTTGAAATCTCTGGGTTTATCCTGTAAATCATGTTTGCACACCTAAGGGTGAAATTACATGTTAGAGTTAGCAGGTGCTAATTCTAAGGAATGTTAGTCTGTATTAAAGTTAACAAGTGCTGTTGATCACTCACACATTGGGGTTAATGCCTTCTCTAATATGCACTGTTCAGTTCTGCTGCTAAAGGGTTAGCGAGCAGGGAAATGGCTAGAGGCTTCAAGCTTATTATGTGTCTGCTCACTGGTGCTTTAGCCTCAATATAAGCTGGGGAGAAGGAGGGGGGAATTCCCCCCCACCCCCCAATGGATGCCTCTTCCAGCCCCCAAATTGTCCCCTACCCCTGGATTGACTTCCCACCCCACAATAGGCTCCTCTACTCCTGGATCACTGCAGTCACAGCAGCATCAGGAGCTTCCCCCTCCCTGCATGCTCCCAGGCTCCCTCCTGCTTGCACCATCCCCACACACCTAGATCCAGCCACTACCAGGACCCATAGCTGCTCAGCATCTCCTTGCCCCCCCCACCTTATCCCCTCCCCCCTACCCATCCTGTAGTTGGAGGGGCTGGCAGGGGCTGCTGGATTTTGGTACACAGCGTCAGAGGTAGTCTGCAGGGACCCCAGAAGTAGGCAGGGAAAGGGAACCCCCCAGCAGTGCCTCTACCACTCTTGGGCTGATCAGGATGGCAAGGTAGCAATTTGGGAGTGGAGGGACCAGTGGGGGGCAGAAGGAGCGATTGGGATGGCAAGGGGGCATTCTGGGGATTTAGAAGTTCATTCAGGGGAGCAAGTTGGGGAGGAAAGGGGGCAGGAGCCTGGTAGCTCCCCACCTACCCATCCACTCCCTTTTCCCTCCTCCAATCCTATCTCCCTCTGCTCCCCTAATCCTCTTCACCCTTTTCTCCTCCCTCTCTGCTCACCCCATCCCTCCTACCTGTTGCCTGGCTGTCCCCAGCTGTCAATCCTGGGAACAGCCAGGCACCTGGGAGCAGTGCATCCTGGGAGATTGGAAGACTGCAGAGTGGTGGTTTTATCTCGGGTAAACACCTAGAAGTTAGCTCAAGCCAAGTAGCACAGCTCAAAGATAATCCTTGCCCAAAGTAATGTAACTTTAAGATGCCTAGCGGGCACTTAGCTAACACTATGTGGCGTGTCAATACCCTTGAAAGGATCTCAAGGCACCCTGGCTCAGAATCACTTTCCTAGGCTAAACAAGCCAAGATCCTTTAGTCTCTCATTGTTATAGGGCTACCTCTCCATTCTCCTGAACATTTAGCACTTCTTTCAATCTATTTTAATTACTATTAATCTTTTTTTAAATGTGTGCTTGCAGTTAGCTGGTAATTGCACTTCTGGTGCACAAGACAAGCAACAGCTGATTTAGTAAAAATAACTTCTTCAAGTCATTATGAAAAGTATCAGTTTGATAATCTGGGTTTATTAAAGCTCCTATGTATAGAGCAAATAAAGAATGGAAACCAACAGCATATAATCACTTAGGCTTCTTTGTTCACGCATAAATCTAAACACTTCCTCGGCTTTATCTACTAGTAAAGCTGTTAATTGCAGAATACCGCACAATGTGTACATTGCACATTATGGCATTTGTTTTTTCCTTGATAGCAATCCAAAAAGGAATTTTCATGTCCATATATAGGCTATGAATTAGACTGTGCCTGGTTTAGCTTTCCAAAGATTATGTTCACATAGTACTGTCAGGCCCTGTGCCTGTAAGCCACTGTGCATATATGTTTCTTTACTATCTTGATTAGCTCTGTAATTTGTTACTATAGTAAAGGTAACACATGAAACCAAGTAGTTGTGGATCTTAGTGCTCAAAATTTAGTGGGTGGTTTCTTTTTCATTCTCCTGCAAGTTCTGCTTTCTGCTGGGTATGTAGATAGGAAACTTAGGAGAAGGTGCCTGCAATTTTTCTTATGGAGGTGACTTTGTGTTTACTATTGTGTACATGGGGTCGAGGGATATTTCAAAAGTGCTGAAGTTCCAGGGTATGCTATGGTATATTATTCCAAATATGGTTGTATATTGAGACATGGTAGCTAGGAATTCAAGATGCAGGCATCTTGGTTATATATTATTTGGTTATCCAAAACATTTAAATAAAATATATATGAAAGAAAAATCTTGTCAGGTTTTGTGCTCTGCAATACAGAAAAAAAACATTTCTATAATTTGCACGTTCTTGACATGTTGAATTCTGTGTCTCCCTCATCCATGCAGAAGAATTAACTGAATATATAAGTAATGATGTGGCGCAGACATCAGAAGCAGCTGATACTGGTGTTTACAGCCAGATGGTGGATAAATCACAGGAAGATATTGAGACAGAAAGGAATCCTGTTTCTAGGGAGACATGGATTAATTTTGAAGACTTCTGTACTTGTTTTCAGTAAGGAACAGAGGTTTTATTTTATATTTCTTATAATTAAAATTATAGTTGTTCTATGAAAAATAACAATGTAAAATATGTTTATTTTTAACAGATATGTTCTTTGTCTGCACGCAGTGTCTTACTAGGTTTCTTTTAGGGGAAATACGAGTTGTTCGCCTCTCTTGCTGCTGTTTGTGCTACAGAATCTATGCAGCTGAATGAGGACAAATGGGATTCTATTCCTCCTTTTGCATCATCAACATAATTCCCAGTCAGTTACGCCTTTGCAAACCCAGTAGTGGGGTTGTATGCGTGTCAATGAGGCTCTGCAATGGCCTACAGAATTTCTTTATAACAGTTAAAGCAAGAATTCAGCTCTGGTTCTGACCTGCTATGCGGGGCTTGGAAATTTAGGAATGGAGGACAGTAGTTGATATTTACCAGTGCTCCCCTACCATCAAGGTTCCCAACTTGTGGGGAGCCACACAAGTTGGTATGACTCTGTGGGCCAGATTTGGCCCAAAGGCTGGAGGTTGCGTATCCCTGATATACATCATATTAATACACATTATATTTAATATGCATTGGTTTTGAAGAATGTGTCAGAGCTTCAGTGAGAACTTTGAATAGCTAAAACCTTTCTTTATATAAAATCTTGCACTCTAAGTTGAATGCTGCCTTCTATTAAAGTTGAGTTCACTGAGACTGATTCATTCAAACCGAGCTCAGAAATTATTGCAGTGGGAATTTTCAGTCATTATCTAAGGATGAGTAAAAACTGATAGATTTCATAGGAACATTAACAAACTACATAAAGAAGTATCAGCACTATTAGGGGTACTTTTGAATTTTGTAATTAAAGTGATTTTTTTAGGTATTAAACTTTTATGGTAACTTCAGTTCGTTGCTGCTTGCAAAAAAAAACCCTACCTGCCTGATATGCACAAGGAAGACTTTGATTAATATGTTTGTTGCAGTTCCATGTCAGCAGCTTTCACTGGAGATCAATTGTATTCATCTTTTATGAAGCTGCAAATGTTGAACCATTTTCAAGAAACACTTTTGATTCTGTTTCACAAAAAGAGAGAGCTAATTATAGCACATTCATGAAATAAAAGTGCTTTTTGCTATGGATGGAGCATTGTTTTTAATATACGCTATTTAAGTTAATTGTTCCACATACTTTCCTTTTCTTCATAGGTACCTACATATTTTCCACAAACCACATACGTATACTTTTAGTTATCAGAAGGCAGATTTTAAGGTAAGTGGGATGACCTGCAGAGTTTCTTTACAACAGATAAAGCAAGAATTCAGCTCTGGCTCTGACCTACTATGCAGGGCTTGGGAATTTGGTAGCGGACAAGAGTGGCAGTATTAAGTTCCATCACTCACCTGCCGCCAAATGTCTCAACTTGTGGGGAGCTCCATGGGCCAGATGCTCTGGCTCTGTGGGCTACATTTGGCCAATGGATTGAGCACCCTTCGTATACATCATATTAATAGACATTATATTTGATATGCATTGGTTTTGAAGAATGTGTCAGAGCTTCAGTGAGAAGGTAAGTGGAAGCCTTGAATTAAGTTTTATTTTTAATTGGGGAAAGCCTTGTAAATCTTTTAACTCATAAATTCTGAACATCTGTATTAAACATGTAAAGCAACTCCTACAGATAAAATAGATGAAACACACATGGGAATACTTATATCTACTAGTCATAATTCAATGTAATTGATAGTAAATCTGGCAAAATAATGTAGCAAATATTTTTCTATATTTAGAATTAGAAACGACTGTGGTACTACAAATTGTTGTCATGTAATAAAAGATGAAAAATATAGATTATGTTAATCAGGAAAAGACTGCAGGTTGGACAAGATCCTAAAGTTCCCATTGTCATGCATCTTAAATCTCAAGTCAGCAGCTGATGCCCTCTTCCCCTCCCTTCCTCTTCCCCCACCACCCAAATCTCTGAAATAGGTGGGATAGAAATGTAGACCATGCTTCTATGTGTTCTCAATGGAAGTGCAGCTGTGATGAATCTGAGGATCTATGCCAGTCACTGAAATTACATTATAGACTTCAGTTACAGTATATAAGCATTATAGTAATGCTTTTGAACATCTGTGCTTCAGTTTACAGAACTGAAAGATTTAACACTAATAATAAAATAATATGTTAAATAACATATTTCACCTGTGGTTTTGTAATTTCTACATTAATTCTCTATAACTACTCCCCCTTTAAAGTTCATTCTGCATGAGTCTAGTATGAAATCCTACACGTAGAAAGTTAACTCTATATTACATAAGTGCAAGGAACCTACAATATTATTAGTCTCTATATTGTAAAGCCTAACTAGGTTATGGGCCTGTTTTCCTGTTTGGACTTTGCAACTGCATGGAATTGAAAAATATAGTATACATTAAAAAAATCAGCCAATAACAAGGCAGTGTATTCCTGTGTGCTAGGAATCAAAATGAAATATTTTATGGAATTGCTCCATTTATTGTTTACAATATTTGCAAGGTAGAAATCATAATATGCATGTAGAATCATTTTTGTTCTGTTAGCTCTGTTAAATAGCCAAATCAAGAATCTTCATGGTATTGTATGTCTTCAGGTTTACTGATGTTAACCAGAAAGTTGCAGAACAATATCTTCATGTTTTGTACCATTAAAATAGCATAATAAAGAACCAAAAATAGTTATTATAAATTGTCAGCTGGCAAGAAGGACATTAGTAAATTAATTATATCAGAGGAAGACTAATTTCCCTTAATTTTTACTTAATCTGCATGCATAAGTGACTTGTAACTTCTTCAGAAGTGCTTCTGACAATTAATTGTTTAATTTATGTACTATGCCTTGAGCCACAAAGTTGGATTTTTAAGTCAGTCATTATAAAAGTCATTGTTACATGGCAGCATTCAACTGATATTCAACATTAATGTCTTTTCCCCCTGCAGTCTACTGATGATCGAATCTTCTATTATTTATTTGTGGACAGTTTGAAGCCTATTGAAATCCTGGTTAGTTTTTCTGCATTAGTGCGCTGGGGAGATACTGGAGGTAAAATCAGTACAAAGAAAAGAGCATGTATGTTGTTATTGATTGTTCTGTCTTGCTGAAGATTCTCTTTTATCATAAGATATTTTTAAACTTATATTTTTCTTTTCTTTTCTCTTTTATTGTGAATTTGTGTGACACTTGAAGTCTAGGTAATTCAATAAGAATTGGGATAGTTCTGTTTGATAATTCAGAGTTCTCTCATCTGCAAAGCTGATACATGTTGTCTGTACTATCATAAGGCTTTTTTTTGTTGTTAACTTCTAAGAAATAAGTCACAGTAAATCAGACCACCAAGCTATATTCAGTTGTGCAGTATTTTGGGACAGGTTATATACAGCTTAGAGTTAAACTGAACAGGAAATTACCTGTAGCGAATATTAACATGTTCACAATTTTGTTTTTATATTACTACAAGTATATGATAGACCCTGTGGGCATGTTTACATGTACAGTTAATGTGAAGTATGAAACTCGAGTTTATTGCTCCTGGGTGCACCGTTTAAATATGCACCTGATATAGCAGCACGTTGAGCTGAGTCAGAGCATCCCCAGCTGGCAGGGAGACCCTGGGGGTCAGCCTGCCAGCCCAGGGCTGCTCCTCCTGCCTCAACATCCTATAGAGGGGCTGGTTGGTGTACAAGGGCACTGCAGTGTGGGACTAACAGGCAGCTCCCACACTGAAGTAAACTCAGGCCCAGTCAGCCCGGACAGTCTCTACATGTGCGCTGCAGCACAGTAAAAAACTCCACAGCAGGATAGTACTTGCACTTATAAGTACTGCCCTTACCCTGCTGCCGAGTTAATTAGTTTATTCCAGCCTAACAGGGGTGCACATGTAGACATGTGACATTTAATGCAGAGCTGATTAGTCAACTCCGCTGTAAATGCCTCATGTAGAAGCACCCTGCGACACATGGTAGAGCAGGACTAAATGGCAGGGGAGTCTGAAGGAGTCTAAAAGGGTCCCATTTACATCATCATAAATCATTTAAAAATAAGGTCCTATTTTTGTACTTTAACTGTAAAAGAGGACAGCTGCTCTGTTTCCCCCTGACTCAAGTGGCTGTCTACAACATTAGCAATGGGTGGAGAAGCAAAAGCAATAGATATTTTGTCTTTCAGTTTGTTGTGGGGGGTTGTTGTCTTTTTTACAGGTACCAAATTGCATGGCTTGTCTTAGAGATGTGTTGGCCAACATTTATTCCGAATTCTGTTTCTAGATAGTTATATTAATTGACCCTAATAACTTACATTTTTCTCTCTATTTTTTCCTAACAGCCACACAAAAAGAAGGTTCTATTGTACCAAAGGGCACCCTAATGGTTGAAAATTTCTCCTGGAAAAATGTGTCTCCTGGACAACTCTTACTAAAGATACATACATATGCGACTAAAGCTACTGTATTAAACCTTCCTGCTGGGTATGTACCCATCTCTCTTCCTCTTCCCCACCTCTGCACCTGTCTCTCACCCATTGACTACCTCAATAAACATTTCATTTTAAAATATTTTGTTGAAGAAATAATGATATTGTAGCAAATTTAATTCTTTTTTAATGGACTTTTTCCACACAAAAGGGACAAACGAACACATAAGACATAAACTGAACAAAGGTAGTGCAGTTCTTAACATTTGGGAATAAAGTTATTATGGAACCATGACATCATGTCACCACAGGATTTCCTGCTCTCAGCAGATAACCTCAGATATTCAGTGTAGAGCATTTTACTTGTTACTAAAATAAAAAAGACAAAACACTGTAATCTTTTGACACTAGCTGGTTTCTGAACAGGCTGCTGGTGAAAGAAACTAAATATTCATAGATTCATAGATGTAGGTTCGGAAGGGACCTAAGTAGATCATCAAGTCCAACCCCCTGCCCTGGGCAGGAGAGAATACTGGGCTCATATGACCCCAGCTAGGTTATAATTATATGATCTCTTACCACTAGAACCAAAATGTGGATTATTCAATACCTTTTGCTTTAATTAAAAAAAAGCTTGCTGGTTTATAGTTTCAAAGAGATACCATAAAAATCAAGAAGAAGGACTGTTGTGAACTTTTAGCTTGTGTTTTTAGTATAATTTATCTTATGCAAAAGAAAAACATATATTACAACAACAAATGTTATAGATATCTACTGTATTAATAATACATACAAAAATATCAGACATATTTGACATATTGGGCACATCTACACATGGCTGTATAGTACCTTTCTTACTGCGCAATCGTTTAGTACTTCCTTTTGGAAGTGCTAAAAGATGTTGCAGTAACAGCCCGTATTGTGCCTTGTTGGCTGTGCATGGTTATTTTTGGCTGCTATGTCACTGTAGCAAAGCTCTATAATGGCTGCAAGGGAAGGGTCTTCAGCTGGGAGGTAGAAATCCTCTCAGCTCTTCCTGAAGCCACTCCAGTGCAGAGTCATGGGACTCGGATGAAACCAGGACAGGGGAGGGACACACTCTGTGCCTCACTGACCCAGGCTAGGAATGTGGGGTGTGCCACTGGCACTGCCTCACTCCAATAGCTCGCAAGCCCCATGTCCCACCCCCCCTGCACCCCATGGGTAGCGCCCCATACCCCTACCCCAGACAAAACCCAGGGACCCCAATATTAACTTATGCTTACCTGTGTACATGTAAAAAATGGTAGTGTAAGAATGATGTTGTAGCTCTGATGGTCCAGAAATTATGTGAGGCAAGGATTTCTTAGGATGATATCTTTTATTAGATCAACTGTGTAGTTGGGATAGAGTTAGACAAGTTTAGGAATGTAAGACTTTCTTTGTCAGATCTTGCGTTTGTCTAACTCTATCCCAACTACATAGTTGGTCCAATAAAAGAAAGCACCTTTAAGAAATCTTTGCTTCTTACATGTAAAAAAATGTCATTATGGTAACACATGACCAGGACTATTGAGCCTTATTTTGGGTATTTGAAATCAAATTTATGAGCTTAAAAGGGAACACCTTTGTGTTACTAGTAGTATCCAGAAATTGCAAAGAAGGCATGGTCATTAAACCAAAGTATTGATTCTCTGTCTTCCTGAAATGCTAAAGCAATTTGTAATTTTCTTATATAAAAAACACAATTAGAAAATAAGTATTTGATACTGGCTTCTCTATTTCTCAACCTGTAACTAACTAGTGGTTCTAGGCATGTTTCCTGGTGGTCTCTCCAAGTGCATATTTTGAGAACCAAGCAGTTAAAATTGTGTATTGAAAGGAGAGGTGAGGGGAGAAAAGGATTTCACTGTTAGTCAGTGGAATGAAAAGCCACTGTTTATTAAAAAAAAAAAAAAGAGTGCCTTGATTAGTGTATTTTGTTCTTTAATGTAGGCGACATGTGTTAATCTTCACTGCAAGTTCTCCTATAGGGCACCATATCCATCTCTGTAGCATGGTTCCATGTGTCTTTGGAGAAGAGGATACTGTTATGCCAAACCTTGAAAAGGTACATATTACTGAAATACTTCAGCAAGTATACTACAAGTTGTCAACCATTGTTTATTTTTATTTTATTTCAAAACCTGCATATTGTCTCATCTTTATTTAGAGTTGATATTTCTTGAATTATATTAATATCTGCAGAATGAATGAATGACAAAGGAAAAGAGTTCAGAGGTCTGGGAAGGGGGAAGAGGGAGGCACACTGAATCAGAAATTGTAATATCTGCTTGATATATATCTCTAAATGGTATTGGATGTCTTTCTGTTTCGTGACCAATAGTTGAAAATTCATTTAGGTAACAATATAAAAACGAATGTTAAAGAATCTGGTTAAAGTATGTAACTTTAACCTGCTATATGATCTTTCCTATGGCTGCATACTACACATAATGCACATAGAGTTGATTAAGCTGAGTTCAGAAATAACTGTTAGACTTTCCAGTGTTGCAAACTGTTCTTCAAATCAGTAAGGGTTTTTCCCCCCATAGGGTTGTGAGTTTCCTAATAGGTGTAAAAATAAATTTTATATTTAAAATGAACTATTGATCTAAGGGACTTTATAGAACCTCTGATAACCTTGGGGGCTAATTAACACCTTTTTATAGCTATTGGTTAGCAGGTGTGCAGATGTAGACACTTGTCACTGCAAGGGTTACACTCAGTCCATATTTTTCAAGGACTAGAGACTTTAACTTTTAATGTCTGAAACACAGTTGTGCAACAGTTTTGAAATGGAGATTTTGTAGACATTTATGCAGCTGCATAATTGAATAATCCTGACACTAGGATATTAAAATAGTTTAAGTAAACTTATAATGGGTATTTTAGCAATGTAGAAATTAGCTCATTCTAAAAGTAGAAAATTGTGTTTCCTGGTTCTGGATTGTCTCATTCTTCTTTGCCTATGTAGGTGGAACTTCCCTTACCATAACACAAGAAAATAGAAGACCCTTTGCAATTACCATTTGGGGTCATCTTTCTTTTTGCAGGAAACAGGCACTTTTCACACAGCACCATTTCCATCTTAGTCTCCAGATTTGCTTATAGAAATCTAAGTGAAAGCTAATGGGCTTCCTGTAACACACACATTGACAAAGTGTTCAACTATGCACAAATAACATCTACATACTTTGAAGGCATAGGAATAGAATAAATAAACTTTGTGCCAAAAAGCGTATTTCAATTCAGAGCATAATTGCTGTATTTATACTCCCATTATATTATAACATCTTCATTTTGACTAAATATTCTACTCTGCCTGATACAAAAGCAAAGTAATCAATAGTTGATGTAAAAATATTCACTATCTGATAAAATGATAGCAATTTCCTTTCAGCTAGAATGAGTAGAGCTTTTGTATCCTTTGAATGCCAGAAACCAAAGCAGCTTGATATCATATCAAATTAGCAATGATTTAATACTTCAGTACAAATGAGATACTTGTATGCTTTGTAATATAAAGAAAGATTCAAGAATTCTATGCAGTAATAGTTACTTACGTCCTCTCTCTCTAGGAGAGCTACCGGTTTATAGAACAGGCTACAGCAATCCTGAAGGCTATTGCAAATGTGATAGATAATTTCAGCAGTGAGCCAAGACTTTCCAAAACCCTGAAGGAGTTGGAACTAAGTCACTGTCCTCCTGGTCTCAATGGTACTGGGATAGTGAAAGAACACTTCAAGGTGAACAAACAGTATAAAGAACCTGCTGTTTTTAAAAGACCGCAAACTGTAAAGAATATGCATCTTTAACATTTGCTTTGTTTTCTTCAGATAAGTTCTCTTTATGATCCAGATTTTCAAAGGGACCCCAATTCTGCTTGAGATTTTTGCATGAACTGTTTAGTGCTCATTTTAACTTGCATATGCAAATGATAGAATTTGTAAACACGAACAGCAACTGTCTTTCTTTTCTATTAACAAATTATAATGTATGCAGAACTCCACATGCTAAATCAGAAGCTGTGTTTTGGCAATTTTGCCATGCATGTTTTTAGACATCGAAATAGAGCAGCTTTTAACTGTGACCTAATTCAGGGTAGGAAAGTGAAGAGATTAACTGGAGTTCTGAAAGCAAGACATGGCATAATTGCCTACTGCAACTAATATTCATGATGCAGGGAGAAAACGTATTTTTGTTAAGACAATAAATTATTTTCACGTTGATAGCATTTCCACATTTTATATTAAAATAGTCCAAACATATTATTGTTTGTACTTCCATTTTAGTATGCAGGAACTAAAGTGAATCAGGTACTCCTACAGAACTAGTAAGGTCCCTTCCAGCCCCTAACAACTATGAAACTATGAAACTTTAAATAAAAATAATTAACATAGACCTACATGTTCATAGATTTCTAGAGTCAGAAGGGACCTGGTAGATCATCGGGTCTGACCCCCTGCTCCAGGCAGGAAAGAGCGCTGGGGTTAAGAAACCTCAGCCAGATGCCTGTCTAATCTCCTCTTGAACACCTCCAACATAGGGGAAAGCACCACCTCCCTTGGAAGCCCATTCCATATTTTGGCAACCCTTACCATAAAGAATTTCTTTCTTATGTCCAATCTAAATCTATTCTCCTTCAGTTTGTAGCCATTATTTCTGGTAACCCCAAGGGGCGCCCTGGTAAACAGAGTGTCTCCTATTCCCTGCTGACCCCCCCGATGAGTTTGTAGGTAGCCACAAGATCGTCTCTCAGCCTTCTCTTGTGGAGGCTGCAGAGATTCAGGTCCCTCAGTTTGTCTTCATAGAGTCTAACTTGTAGGCCCTCAACCATAGGAGTGGCCCTCCTCTGAACCCTCTCATGGTTATTCACATCCCTCTTGAAGTGCAGCACCCAAAACTGGATGCAGAACTCCATCTGCGGCCTCACCAATGCTGCATAGAGGGGAATTATCACTTACTTAGACCTGCTCATGATGCACCTGCTGATGCAAGAAAGAGTGCGGTTAGCATTGCTTATTACCTTGTCACACTGGCACCTCACGGTCATTTTTGTGTCAACCAGGACTCCGAGATCTCTTTCCACTGTTGTGGTGCTCAGAATGGTGCCTCCCAGTCTATAGGTGTGTTGGAGATGCTTTCTCCCCAGGTGCAGCATCTTGCACTTATCCTTGTTAAATTGCATCCTATTTTGATCTGCCCACTTCCCCAGTCTGTCCAGATCTGCCTGGATTTGCTCCCTGCCAAATCTGCCTGAATTCACTCCCTGCCCTCCAGTGTGTTTACTGTACTCCATAGTTTAGTGTCATTTGTGAATTTGGACAAGGTGCTTTCAACACCTTCATCCATGTTGTAATAGCAATGACTAAAGATAATAAAGAGAATGACAACAAAAACTACAGATGCTTACTAGGGGTGTGCGAAATGGATCATATTCAATTCAGATTTGGATTCAGCCCAAATCAGGGACAGCGTTTGATTCACTGATTTGGATCACTGGCCTGATTCAATTCAGCTGAATCCAAATCTGAAGATTCGATGCTGTTTCGGAGAAGTACTTCTGAAGAAGTACTTCTGGTCCACTTCTGGATCCACTGCCAAGTGCATGGGGGCCGAGCTCAGCGATTGGCTGCAGGGGGAATCTGGGTGCCCCCCTCAGACCCAGGAGTGTCCAAAAGTGGCCCCCTCAGACTGCAGGAGACCCAAAAGTGGACCGGAAGTGCTTCTGGTCCACTTCCAGGTCCACTGCCAAGCTTGCTATGCACCCCCCCGTGCTACTGTGGGATGCTCCATCCACCCCACCATCTCAGCATTCACGAGCCACCTAGTACCTTGAGGTATGTAGAAAAAATATTTAAAGCTCCGTCTATGTCTGAATCATCGAATCGCTCTGAATCAATTTGGAGGGTTACAATTCAATTCAGAGAGATTAAAGGGTCTCCTGATTCAAATTCAGAGATTTAGCCGCCGAAATCAGGCCGAATCAAATCAGCGACTGAAACTTCACACAGGCCTAATGCTTACTGTAACAGGGCAGTCTGGCAGACAGCCCTGAAGTAGGAGCCAAGCTATGGGTGGCTAGTTGGCACGTAATAAAAGCTGAGATTTATTTACTTATGCTTGCCTGTGCATATGTTAAAGAACAGTAGTCTAAGAGTGATGTTGTAGCTGTGATGCTCCAGAAATTATGTGAGAGGCAAGGATTTCTTAGTAGGGCTGTGTGAAGCTTCGGGTGCTGATTCGATTTGGAGGAGATAAGGCCTGATTTAGTGGCTGAATCTCCGAATCTGAATTGAATTAGGAGACCAATAAAAAGGTCCGAATCAATTCGAGCCTCTTTGAATCGATTTGGAAAAGATTCAGAGAGTTTCAGAGATTCAAGCAGTCCCCACTCGTCATCGCAGGGAGCTGGACCCAGACTCTGTACTGGTAAGTAGGGGTGGGAGGGGGTGCTGAAGAAGGAGGGGACCACTGAGGAACCCCTGCCAGGCCCCATCCCCTGCCTGCTCCCGCAGCCCTCCTGAGCACCCCCCAGCCCCACCTGTTCTAACAGCCCCAGCATCCTAGCTCTTAAAAAAAAAAAAAGAAAAAGCCCCACACTCACTGGCTGCTGCAGCGACTGTCAGGGCTTCTGGGGGCTCATGGCAAAGTCCCCCACACAGCAGGGGGCAGCGGGGGGCAGCAGCCAGTGAGCGCGGGGCATTTCTTTTTCTTAAGGAGCCAGGACCTTTGACAGGGCAGGGCAGCCATTGATGGGCCTGGGAAAGTGGGCGGGGGATGGGGCCTGTTTGATTTGGAGATTCTGCCAAATAGGCAGCAGCCGAATCTCCAAATCAGTTTCAGCCAAATTGATTCGGGACAGTGATTCGAATCACCGAATTGAATCAGTCTCCTGAATCGGTCAAATTTGAATACTAGCTGCTTCACACAGGCCTATTTCTTAGGGTGATATCTTAGGGGGAAGAGAACAAGGAGCTTGAGTTGGGGAAGAAGCAGTTTGAGGCCAGGAGATGGGTTGAAACCCAAAGGAGCTTGCTAGGCCAAAGCTAAAAGGCCCTCTCCTGCCACCTAGAAAAAGATGAAAGGTTTTGCTTTGCTCATTTGTTTGGGGCAAGGGTTGTTGGCTGTGTTTTGGACTATTGCTTGGAATGACAGACAAGATCCAAAGGCAATAAAGTCCATGTGCCCAGGAGCAGGCACACCAACCCACTTGCATTTACACAGTGATATAATAAGTATTTGGCTGCCCCCCCCACAACAGTTACTTTCCTGAAAGTATTAGTGATATTAGAGTAATGCTACCCTGACTTCTTTTTCTGCCATCAGTATTTTGTGTGTTTGTTACAACTTGAGCTACTTGTATCTAGGAACTGAGAAGCTGATATAAATGACAGTATATTTAGTAGGTTAGATATTCCTTTAAAAGTAGGTATTAATTCTGATATTATAAAAGCCTTAGTCTGTCTGTCTGTCTGTCTGTCTCCCCATCCATAATGCTTTATTCACACTCTGATTAGTTGACCGAAACAGTCAGAGCACTCTAAAAGTTTTGGGCCAGGAGCACCGCCATAACAGCAGGGACACAGGGGACAGAGTAGATGGCAGCGATGGAGGAGAGTGGGGAGAGCGGCCCCGACCCCAAACCAGCCTGTTCCCTCCCCTCCTCCATGCAGGCAGTGGTAACGGAGGAGGGTAGTGGGGGACACAGGGAACAGAGCAGGGGGCTGGGCCAGACCCCGTGCACCCCCCACCCTCACCGCTGTTTTGGGGCCAGACAATTAGATACAAGTAGAAAAAGATGTGCACAAGACAATGAATCTGAGGACCTAGCTACACGAAGAAGGTGATTGGATGTGCAATGACATCAAGGGAGCCGTGTAGATGACTCCCAAGCAGATGCTACCATGTGAAGACAATTAGATGCACAGTGCCATCAAGAACACTGTGCTAATGAATCACAAGAGGAGGCAGCTGTGCACAGACAATTAGATGTGCAACACCATCAAGAAGGTCATATAAGTGAGTCTCGTGAAAAAGGCATTGTGCAAAGACATTTAGGTGCCGCACGAAATCAAGAAAGCTGTGTACCTGAGTCCCAAGAACATGCTGCAGTGAGAAGACAGTTGGACTCTTTTCGCTCTGCAAAAACATGACAAAGGCAATTCCTAATCAGAGACAGTCATTTCTTACAAGACAGTCAGAAGTAGAAAGGCATTACTGCAGTAAAATGGATGTCGTTTGCCAATTTTGTCATTCTTTAAACTTCACAGCTGAGCAGCCATCAGATGGAAAGTTTAAAAATTGCTGTTGCAAAGGAAAAGTGAGGTTGCCTTACCACCACAAATTTCCTCCGTTACTTAAAGAGGACATGAGCAAACCCACAGCATATGTTTTATGAGAACTTTCAGACCAACATTAGGTCATTTAATAGTTCTTTAAGCTTTGCATTTTTGGGAGCAAAAATTGTACCTGTTCCTGGACAGGACCCATATTGCTTTCATGTCCATGGAGAATTCTATCACCCAACACCTCATTTACTGCCTAGAGAAGGAGATGCAAGATCCTATGGCCAGCTTTATATTTTGGATCCCAACAAAGCATTTGAAGAATGGTTCAATCATCCCCAAAATCACCAGTGCAATCCTGCTTTAATGCAAGACCTGGACACTTTACAGAGAAACATCAATCCATTTTCAACCTCTTACAAAATGTTAGGTGAACTTGTAAGAGAAGAAGAGCAAAGAGCGGCTGAGGAAAATTGTTCAATTGCAAATATTAGCATGGTGTTCTATCATGACCGAGAATCTGAAAGAAGAAGATATAATTTGTCAAACAATGATGAACATACCATGCTTTTCCAAAATGACGAAGGAGAACCGCCTTTCCATAGGGACATAAGAATTTACTCAAGATCTCAAGGCTTTGAAAATCTAAGTATTTTGAATGCTAACTTAGATCCCATGACATACGTTGTGTTTTATCCATATGGCATCCAGCTTCAAAACTTCCTGGATATGAGACTTCAACATCAAAAAAAGTTTCCATGTTATAATTCAAAGTTGCTCAAACAGCAGTTCATCAAAATGAATTTAATCCAATTTTACGTGGAGGAAAATTCACTTAACAGTAGATTGTAGATTCACATTTACAACTTGAGGCAAACAATTTAAATTACATTAGGCAACAACAAGGAAATCTTAGAGTAGCACAATACAGTGGTCTTATGGACTTCTTAACAGAAACTGCTGAAACCTCTGGTATTCAATTAGGAAAAACTGTAATTTTACCATCATCATTCCAAGGGGGACCAAGAAATATGTGAAAAAGATATCACAATGCCATGGCAATAGTGAGCAAATATGGACACCCAGATCTGTTTATTATATTCACTGCAAATCTAAAATGGCCTGTTATTCAAGAAAATTCGTTTCCTGGACAAAATCTCTCAAACAGACCAGACTTAGTAGCAAGAGTATTCAAAATTAAGCTGGCATCTTTACTGGATAATGTTATAAAACAAACTGTTTGGTCCAGTTATCGCCCAGGTATACACAATTTAGTTTAAAAAATGAGGACTCCCACATGTGTACATACTATTTATATTGGAAAACAAGCTTGACACACAAGCAGCCATTGATCGTACAGTTAGTGCTGACATTCCTGATTCAGATACAGACCCACTTTTACACGACATAGTAAAAAAATACATGATACATGGACCGTGTGGTACTTTCAACGTTAATTCACCATGCACGAGTGAGGGACATCATACCAAAATTTTTCCCATGCCAATTCAACAAGAAACAGTAGCTAATGTCAACAGATAACCTTTCTATAAAAGAAGCCAAACACTTACAATCCAAGTAAGCAAACACAAAGTGACAGTCATTATGTCGTCCCATGCAATAAATATCTTTTGTTAAAATACAACACTCATATCAATGCTGAAGTATGCACATTCATGAAGTCGATAAAATATATCTTTAAATACATTTACAAAGGATATGACTGTGCCAATATTAAAATAGTAAACAATCAACAACTACAACATGACGAGATAGCTAATTACCTTGATGCAAGGTATGTGACACCACCAGAGGCTATGTGGAGACTGGAAAACCAGATGCATGACAGATCTCATGGAATCATTAGATCAGCAATTCATTTGCCATTCCAACAGTCAGTATATTTTCAACCAGGACATGAGCATGAGGCTGTCGATAATGTAGATATTTAAAAAGCAACTTTAAATGCTTGGTTTTCACTAAATCACAATTGTCCTGAAGTACGACAGTATTTATACTGTGAAATTCCATACCATTATGTATTTCAAAAGGGTGTTTGGCAAAGACAACAAAGAGGTGGAGACAACATTTTTTCCTAGGATGTATTCAGTAAGTCTAAATGATACAGAAAGATTCTGTTTAAGAGTTCTACTACTGCATGTCTGTGTAGCAACCAGCTTTGTAGAATTATGTACCATTAACAGTGTCCTCTGCGATACATTTCAAGAAGCAGCAAAAAGACATAATTTGCTGGCCAATGATGAAGAATGGAGCCAGTGTCTGTAGGAAACAGCTGCAATTCAAATGCTAAGACAGTTGAGTCACAAATTTGCATATTTTATAAGCCATCTAATGCATATCAGCTATGGGAACAATTTAGGGATGCCATAACAGAGGACCATAGGAAAAATGACAATGATGATGTTGCAGTACAAAAAAGGCATTGCAAGATATACAAGAATTGTTGATGGTCCATGGACTAAATTGTAGTTCTTTTGGTTTCCCTGATCCAGGCACCATTGTTGAACAGAGAAATGACATCCTTTATAACATTGACGAAGAATTTGCAGAGGCAGAACAATGAATTAGAAACTTCAATGTGCAACAGAAATATGCCTTCAATCAAATTGTTACTGCTATAAATGGAGAGAGTGCAAATCATTGCTTTTATTTGGATGGATCTAGGGGATCTGGGAAAACTTACTTAAAGAACACTTTAATGTGTTACATTAGAGGAATTGGACAAATTGTTCTCCCTTTTGCAACAACAGGAATAGCTGTTCTTCTTTTAAAAGGAGGAAGAACAATACACATTGGCTTCAAATCACCCATCCCAACACCTGAAACATCTACTTCATGTGTGAATTTATAGTCACCTGAAGCTGCCGCAATGAAAAAGGCTACACTAATTATAATTGATGTGGCCATAATGATGCACACTCATGCACTTAGATTCATTGATTTATTGCTCAAAGAGATTATGCAAAATGAAATGCCATTTGGAGGAAAATACTTTTGTTAGGCAGAGACTTCAGACAAACATTACCAGTCATAGTACGATCTACAAGAACAGAGATGATAGAGGCATGCATAAAAAGTAATCGTCTGTGGTCAAATTTCACCAAAATCAAATTATCACAAAACATGCGCACTGAAGGACATCAATTCCATGACTGGACTCTCAAAGTTGGTGAAGGAACTATGTCAAAAGATTATAGGTTACCATCAGATCTAACTGAAATACCAGAAAATGTTATTGAAATGGAGTCCATTATCACAGCAGTTTATAGGAACCACATTGAAGTAGAAGACTTGGAGTCCCATGCAAAGAAAATTTTTGTAACTCCCCAAAATAAACACCATGGAACTGAATACTAAATTTATTATTATAACTTTGCTGCCTGGTGAAATGAAAAGGTACTGCAGCGCAGATTCTATGATCACGGATGACTGAAAATCAAACTACCTATCCCATTGACTTTTTAAATGCACAGACACCATCAGGACTCCCACCACATGAGTTGCACTTGAAAATTGGCACTATTGTTATGTTACTCAGAAATATGAATCCAAAAATGGGACTGCAGTGGAACTCGACTGATAAGAGGATGACACCACAATTTCAAAGATGGTGAAATAATTACAGGTACTAATGTAGGAGAACGCATCATCATTCCTTGCATTGATTTGGCTCCATTGGACACACAACTACCTTTCTTTCTGAAAAGGAAACAATTTACCATAATAACATTGTTTGTAATAACAATTAATAAATCACAAGGACAAACATCAACTCTGTTGGCTTCTACTTACCTGAACCAGTGTTTTCCCATGGACAATTGTATATAGCCCTAATGAGAACCAAAAAAGAAAACAACTTAAGAATCTACATTTCACCGATGGCAAATAAACAAGGAAATCTAAACAGTGATGAGAAAATATTCACCAAAAAGGAAGGAGATATTTGATTATACTTTATTCCTGCCACACCATCTGGATGCTTAGCCAAGTTGTAAGCAACCCAAAGAAACATTGGGGACCCAACCCCAGTGGCATATCAAATCACGGAAAAAGGAAACAATTCATATCTTTACATGTTCAGCCTACTTAATTTAATTTTTCAATATATTGCCTTAATTTACAATCATATAAAAATTAAAATCTATTTGTTTGTTCCTCTTATTTGTAAGTCATCCATCATTCTGCTCCTTGGAGGCAAAGGGGATTCTGATGATTACACTTTAAACAAACCACCAAGCCATTTTCAAGTAGTAATAACTGGAGGCCAGCAGTCAGCAATGTTTTTAAGCTATAAGCTGAAGCAACCCAACTTCACCAGTGAGGCTGGCTGATGTTCTGATCTAGCTGCCACTGCTTTCCCTGTCACAGGCTCAACTCCCTTCTGCCTGATGCCAGTACAGTTACACTTTGTTTGACACTTGCATAGGGGCAGGCAAAGCCCTCACCACCAGAGAGTTGCTGAAGCCCCAGTTCTGTGGGCTGTAGATTACTAACATTTGCTTTAGGTCATTAGATTCTCATTTGTATTGAACATATGGATAATAAGGTTATTTCCCATTTTTTCTCTGAAATTATTTAGGTCTTTAAAGATAAATGTTTGTGATACATATTTATGTACTAACTAGAGGCTGTTTGGATGGTAAAAAACGTGTCACATTCTTTTAAATGGAAAACAATAATTGTTTTTGAACATTTCTGAATAAAGTATTAATGATCAAAGAAATTAGTAGTTAGCTTGCTTGAAAAATAACAAATTCTTGTCTAAATCTTTTTCCTCTTTTAATTTTAGGTTTTCAATAATGCTTTTTGGCATTTGATCAAACAAGTACTAGGTAACAAGGTTCCTCCCAATTTTGAATTCGCTTTCAGATCTTTTACTTTGGACTTTAAAGCCAAGGATTCTTCAATGGAAGACATTTTATTTTCAGGTAAAGAATTAATATAATTAAGTAATTTATATAGCTTTAATTTTCTGTTTCTAGTCTAGACCAAACAGATCAGCATCATAATATTTAGAGTGTCTAATACTTTTCATTATAAAACATTTGTGAAACCTTTTCATTGTGAAGGCCTAAGTCTTTCATTGTTCACAGCAAGCCTTTGAAATGGCAGTGAAAAATCTTCAGACTAGAAGTTCCTTTTCTTTGCACCAGGAATTTCTGTTTCAGTGAGTTATAAGCTGTTAAGACTGTCATTCTCTTTCTCTTATTCTCGTTCTTATTTTGAAAGCACATGGGTAGCATGCAAAAGTATTAACTGAAAATTACCATTTTAAATAGTTGTGTCCATGCTGCTGGTAAATTAGACAGATACACAACACAAGGAATACCTGCAGTTTTCAAATCAGCTATGATATTACCTTTTTTCTGACTGGAAGAATGGCCAAAAACATCCCACACTTCCTTCCTAAGCTAGTAACAAACAGGATATTACCCCACTCCCATGATGAGAGAAGAAAGTAAGTCAGACTGGGCTCTTGGGGTACCTATAGATGTGCTCATTTGTGTTTTAATTAAAATACTCCAGCATTGCTTCATCATTACATGTATTAAGCTCCCACATGTTTCAAAATGGCTGTGGGGGTGCCTTATCTAAACTTCATCTATTGAGTTTTAGATAAAGTGTCCCATGACCACTTTGGAATGCGCAGGGGCTTAATACACATGACAGTGAACCATTTTAATTAAAGCGGCTGTCCAGGAACTGCCCTAATTAACCTCTCTACCCGCAAGCATGTGTATAGGCATCCTTAGCCTTTCCTCTGGCCCCTGTTATATAATAGTGTTTGATCATGTGATGAAATAACTTTTTTTCTCATAGGCGTGCTGCCTTATTCATTACCCAGGCTAGATGCATAAAGTGGTTAAAGTTAAGTTTACCCTGGCATCCAAGGATATGGCACTTCCCCATTTTTTAGTACTTTATTTTGCAAAATAAATAACTTTTATTCCATGACATTTTATGCATGTAGCTTATAATGTATATTGTTACACATTAAGTCAGAGAAAATTATAAACTGAAAAGTTGAGAAACTGGCAGGAAGATAAATATCCATTGGTTTAGGCCATTAAATCAGGGTGATTTAGCATTTCATTGTGATATTACCAATTTATGGTGACATTCCTTACCCTTGGTAAAGCAGAAGGCCCTGATTTACTTCTGTTAATACAGATATTTTTTAAAGCTTTACTACTTACAAAACATTTTTTTTTTACAATTTACAAATATAACTATGCTAACAAAACAAAATAGCATTCTGGGTCTCGGAAAGGAGAGAATCTGCCACCATGAATACAGACTGTACATAATCCTTAGTGGAGGGTTTTTTTCCTTATCCGCTGCTGATTCGCTGGGCCTTGTTACACATTCACTTTCAACAGTTGCAGAACATTGGAATATAGTGACCTATTAAGGTGAGTAGGTGTTAGGGCCATGTTGCATGGAACACTTAGTATGTAGAATGTTATGCGTTATTAAAGTTAGGACATGTTCTGAACAGGTGCATGATAATGTTTACTACGAATCCTAATATACACAGTTTGTGCCCTGCCACTAGAAAGCTGGAAAGCTTGTATTCTGCCATGCCATGCTAAAGTGACTTTTCCCAATTTTCTGACAGTGGTTGAAAACAGCCAAGTGCAGTGGAAAGTACTGACTGACTAACAGGCCCACTCTGCATGTTACAGGTATTGACCAATTAACTGGTTAATTGTGCAATTACCTGGAAACCAGCTACACATACATAGTAGCTCTCATACAATAAAAAGCTCATACCAGCTATACAGGTAGACCTTGAAAATGTGTATTAACTTTGTAACTGGGTGCTGTTAAGCTTTAATTTGCACATGTAGTGGGGTCTTCCCTGTGGCTGGGAGCCCCATCAACTGCAGGGGTGCATCGTGTCCAGCATAAAACCCCTGGGCACTAGGGTTCACAGCAGCCATGTTCCACAGGATCCAGGAGTTTTATGCACCCTGGAGCCCTAAGGATCATGGCAACTGTGATTTCCAGGGTCCAGGGGGACCTGCATGCCCAAGCCCTAGGGAATCATGGCAGCTGGAAACCCCTCAGCTCTGGGGATCATGGCTGCTGTGATCCCTAGGTCTCAGGCCTGCAGGAAACCTCTGGGATCGAGGATCACCATAGAGGCGGCCCTCTGACCTGGAAGTATGGGTAAACCCGTGGGGCTGGAGGATTTCCACTATGGTGATCTTCTGGCCCGTCGGGTTTCCTGCACCCCTGAGGCAGGGAGATCACCACAGCAGTGATTCTTCAGTCCCAGGAGCTTCACACTCCCCCACAGTGGGGAGATTGCCTCAGCAGAGATCCTCCAGCCTCAGGGGTGTGTGGGGCATCCCAGCAGCTGGGAGCCTCTCAACTAGGGTGACTGGGGCTCCCAGCCACAAGAGCTTGCTTCTTGCCAGTGCAAGGAGAGCTTGGGGTTGGGCTCCCTCTCCACTAGCAATAAGGCACAATGGGATGTAATGTATGATTCCACAATTGTGCCTTCTGCCATGCACCATGTGGCATGCCAGGAGGAATGATTGTGTGCATTGTGCATTAGATCCCATTGCACCTTTACCTACATGTGTAGAGGGGTCCGCAGTCTCACTAAGGACTCAAATTCTAATCCCTCCTTGACTGGCTATCCCAGCTAGGAATGGATATTCAGGAGCTTCTTGAAGATGCCAAATGATGGCCAGAAATAAATCCCTGCCCTGACTACCAGTGAGCTCAGACAGATGGGAACTCATACTTGGAATCTGTGATGATTAGCAGTGGCAGTAAAACTTTAGGATGTCCTGTGGTACATTCATGGACCTTTATGCTAAGTTGGCCCCTATGCTCTGCTGTCAATATATTGGGCTTTGGCACTCCATGTCCATAGAGAGAGAGATGCATGGCCCTTATGATTTTGAACTTGGTGAACACTGACAGCCTCTGTTCTGTAACCAGCTAATTTGACAGGAGGAGGACAATGGCAACCAAGTCCATGTATGAGATGTGCAACACCATACTTGAGGAGCTTGGGGCTTGGCTTCTGGTTTGGGGACCCATAGGAGGTTATCACTTGGGGAAAACATATGAGCTTACCGGACTATGCAGGGGCTTTGATGTGGAATACATACCCAAACTGTGCCACCAGCACTGTGCCTCAAATTACATAAATCATAAAAGATAGTAAATGAGTTGGTCTAATACATTAAAATATTGATATATTCATATATGTTAATATATGAATATATTGATGAATTAAAAGGCTAATAAATTAGTTGGGCTAATAAAATTAGTTGGTCTATGTGCCCGCCTTTGCTCCATTAGGCGTTCGAGCCACCTTCGCCTGGGTGGTCGATCTGATTTGTCCCGGGCCTGCGTGTGGACCCCGGAGGGTACCTTGGCTGACGTCAGGGAATCCCCCTAACTCACCTGCCATGACTTTGAATGGGATCCCCCTAACTCCCCTGCCATGACTTTGAATGGATCCTCAGTGGAGGGGGTCCCCTTTGAGGGAGCCTCCAGGGTCGTCACGCCCCTCAGCGGGCACTCATGGGGCTCTGACCTCCCCTACACCCCGGCCAAGCGCCACCTTCTGCGATGGGTCTTTAAGCCTCTCTTTATAGCTGGCCCCCGCTGGTTCCTCCTCCTGAACTTCGTGTAGCCCCTCAGCAGCGAGCCCTGGTGTCCTGGCCGGGCTCTGGTGTGAAGGCTAAGAGGCCCTCGGGTTCCAGCTCGACTACCCGGTGTCCCTAGCCTCAGTGTCCACTGTCAGTGGCTCCCCGTGCGCCCCTTGCCCCGAGCTGAGCACTCTATGGACCTATCATAACAAGAGGGACCATGGCACTTGCCTTGATCCTTACCCCTATTCCCAAAACACCTGATGTGACACAACGTGAACCTCCACCACCATGACTGCCGGTGAGGTGTAACCGCAGGGAAAGAAGGAGCCCCGAAGGAAAATAGAGTGCCCCTTCCCGTGGGGTCCCTGTGCTCCCCTGGTGCCTCAGTGTCCCTAGGCCTGGGCACTTGCCCCAACCGGGACTCTTCTCTCTCCCCCTAGGCTCAGCTTCTATTCAGGGTTGTAGCCCCAGTCGCCTGAGGTCAGATCGCTACAGGTGGCTCTTCCTGGGGTCGCCGTGGATCCCTCTGCTGGCACCCTTAATCCCCGCTGGGATTCCCCGGTTCGGGATCTCCCACTGCTTCCACCGCAGCTATCACCGCTGGCGCTCCCACCGGCTTCCCTTCCGTCGTCTTTACTATCCGCCATTCCTTGGCTCCGAGATCCCCCGTAGCTCCTACTGCTTCCCCAGCGCTCGCTGTTCCCGCGGGTCTTGCTGCTCTCGCTGGTCCCACGGCTCTTGCTGCTCCCGCAGCTCTCGACGCTGCAGCATCCACTGCTGCCCCTTCTGCCGGCTTCTCTGCCGGCGTCTCTGATCCCTGCCGGCCCTCTCTGGATCAGGGATTCCGCGCCACTTCCCTCACCATTGCAGCCCTTGCCGCCGCCACAGCTGCAGCTGCCTCCACCATCACAGGCAGCCAGCCGCCATGGCTGCATGCCTCCAGCCTGGAGGTTCCCCGCTGGCTCTCCTGCGTCCTCGGGACCGCCCTTTATCTTCGCCAGGTGGCGTCTCCTCCTGATGTCACCCAGCCCCAGCTGGATCTGAGCGCAGCTAATGAACCATGCGGGCAGTTTCCTGGCGCACACTCCCTTGCTCCTCCCGGCCCCTACGGAAGGTATGTTGGGGCTTTGTTTTCCTTCTATTTTGAACTGGGGTTTGCCTGTAACCCCAGATTCCCCCTCTTCTAGACCTGTGTCCCTGGGACAGTCTAATAAAAGATATCATATTTGCTCAAAGAACTTTGCCTGTCTGTGTCCTTAGACCAACATGGCTACAACCAAAAACCCAGCATAAATCATGACGGTTTATTT